AAAAAAAACATTTTTGCTTAAAAAAGCAACACAATACTCCTTACCTATAGTTCAGCCATCCTTGGACATGGGAAACTCGCTCAAATGAATCCTGGGTATTTTCCAAGATGGCACACCACTTATCACCCATTCCCAGATCCTCTCAACTTTTCAAGATGGCGGTCAAGTCAAATTTCCCACCCTGGGGACCGTTGTGGATGTCGAAATCCCAACCCACTTGCACTTTACAAAGTCTAATTCCCCTGGGTTGCCCGACCCCCCCCCCCCCTCCGATCCCGAGACAAACCATTGATAGGTGCATAAGGTCCTAGAGATGAGATGTATACATGGCACAAAGGTGACTGACCATATTAGTTCAAAAATGCAAAAAAGAAAACAACACGAAAATGTTTCTAACCTTAAGAATGAGTATATAAAGTTGCCCAACTACCTAACCACTTGACCTTAATAATAATCACCTGCAGAAAGTCCTTGCCATTATTTTTGCCATCACCAGCAAAGTCAATGAATGAAAATAAACAACGAAATAAGTGGCGCTCTGCTTCATAACCATGCTTTTCAATCAGCTGCAAAATTAATCAAGGATTAAAAAAATTGGTTTCTTTACAATATTGAAAATGCTCCAGTAATATAGTCACTGTCTGCTGGATAGACATATTTTCAAAATAACTGCTGTACTATATGTGTATCTCTGCTACCTAGGAAGGTTTTTAATACATAATAATTATTAAACTTTCAATTTAAAAAATTGGTGATCTTAAACCATATACTAACTTCATCTTTACTTGAAAAGTGAAACAAAATCCACCCTGTAATGTTCAGCCTTTTTTCTGGCTGCTTTGCTACAGATCTAAAAAATTACTTTTGTGTCCTAAATAACTCCTGACTTATCAACAAATAAGCTTACATGTACAGTATCCAACCATCAGTTATGCATAACAAGCTTGTTACATTATATATGTCACTTGCACGATTAAGACGAGAGGCCTTTTCAATTGAAACTTACCTCGTGTATTTCCTTCAAAGTCGCTTTATAATTTTTCTTTGTTAAATCGCTAACTGCAAAGCTAATTTGCCCAAGAGCTAGAGACAAAGAGTCCACGCAAGTACTCATTTTGCAGAACACCAAATCACACCCTTACGAATTAAATCTTTTTGTTGCAGCTTTACAACAATAACACTGTCATCTTTTTTGGTCATTGCAGAAAGAAAAAGTTAACGTCATTATGACAGCATCTATTGCGCTACCGCCAAAAGAATTGACACAATTTTACAGGATAGGGTTGACAATACAGAAAACGGAATATGGCCGACAAGCACGATGTGATCCCACAATGCACTACGATTTCCTGTTATGTCAATGCATATTGACCAGCGGTAAGTCATGTGATTATGCGCACTAGTAAGAGGGAGGAGAGATCGGGAGGAGATCGTTTCCGCCATTGGAATTTGTCTTCTGAATTTTTAGCTGAATTTGTCTTCGTTTTGGACAGAACAATGGCTGCAACTTTACGTCCTTACCTTAACGCCGTACGATCAACGCTCACAGCATCGATGTGCTTGGAAAACTTCGATTCCCAAGTGGTGGAAAGGCACAACAAACCTGAAGTAGAGGTCCGTAGCAGCAAGGAGTTGCTTTTAACACCAGTGACCATCAGCCGAAATGAGAAAGAAAAAGTGCTCATCGAAGGCTCAATCAACTCGCTGAGAATAAGCATTGCAGTGAAGCAAGCTGACGAGATTGAAAAGATCTTGTGCAAGAAGTTTATGCGTTTTATGATGATGCGGGCCGAGAACTTCTTCATCCTTCGAAGGAAGCCCGTTGAAGGCTACGACATTAGCTTCCTCATCACCAATTTCCACACGGAGCAAATGTTTAAGCACAAGCTCGTCGACTTTGTGATTCAGTTCATGGAAGAAATAGACAAAGAGATCAGTGAAATGAAGTTGGCTGTTAATGCAAGGGCGCGTATCTGTGCCGAAGAGTTCCTAAAGAATTTCTAGATTTAAAAACTTGTACTGCATCCATGAAGGTTGAACAAGTTGAAACTTTATACAGAGTTCTTAATATTTAGTTTTGTAATCTTCATGTATACAGCGTAATCTTGTAAAGTTATGGATTGTCTCAAACTTTCAGTCGCCTTGGACTCATTACAAGATAATTAAAGTTGATCTGATTGTTTAGTTGCTATATTGTTGTTGTCAATGTTGTTGTTTTTATTGACTGTCTAGAAATAAATTTGACCTAGAGTTTGTTCCTTTCGATTCTTTTATCCCCAGCATTAATTAAATTCGGCAGTACCCAGGGCTCGAACCTAGACCACTAAATACAGAGACGAGTGCACTAACCATATGGCCACCCCATGTGGAGAAATTACACCAATCTGGTGAAAACCAAGATATTGAGTTTGCCTTTTTCAGTATGAACCAATCTACTCCACCACATTTGAAACCTTTTAGTCATATTCGATAGGCCTTTAGCAACAGTTAGTCATGTGATGTGCTTTTTAAGAACACACTGTTCTAGTCAGATCATTGGTAATGCGTGTTGTCAGAAATGCAAAGAACTTTTACAAGTAAGCTTACATGCAATTCAAGGAATTAGATTTAGTCAATTGATAAACCGATAATCAAAATCAATCAATAACAATCATTATCAATATCTCTATCAATTAGTGATAGTAATCAATGAAAATCAATAAACAAAAAAAGTTGTAAGTTCGATTGGTATCAACTGCTGATAGTAATGCGGGATATGTATGCTGATAGTAATACGGGAATGTCTTTGGAAAATCATCCAGATATGTATTCCAGGTATTATTTTACGTAACAACAAAGCCATCTTTGAATAGTCTGAAAAAATTGATGGTTAAATGGTTATTGTCTATTGTTTTTTTGTTGTTGTTGTTGTTGTTGTTTTCAGTCGATAACAATCGATGTTTTTGACAACAGGAATTATCGATTGTCAGTGATTTTTGTCAAATATCAATAGCGATCAATAATTCGTTTTCTACGAGTTCAATTGTTATTGAAAATCGATATCAATCGATAGCAATCATAAATTGATATTGATTGAATCAATTTATTTCCGATATCGATTTTTATTGATTGAGTACGCCTGGTTGTGTGGGAAGATGCTTCACCTCCAGTCATGCTCCAGTTGTTTTCCATACAAATCCTTGTATTTTGAAAGTTTTTAAATGGTCATAAAATCTTTGCCTTTCCGTTTGAGCTAACAATTTTCCATTCTTCCTTATATTTTATCCCTCTTTCTACCTCCAATTGTTGTATGCCAGTAGCTTCCTTTGGTAGGTTTCTGGAGGGCAAAACTTCCTTGCGTCCATACATACAAACCCTTCTTATTTCTGCAATAATCAAATTGTCATTAAATCTTAACCTTTTTAAGTCTGAAAATTCGTGTTAAAACAATAATGCTCTTTCCAGTTCTGAAAATCATTTGGCTGTAGATAAAAGTTTAGAAATTGGTCATTTGACCAACTGTTGCAAAAGGCTTATTAGGGGTAGTTAATGGTCGCAGAATTTCAGTCGAATTTCAAGGGTCCCCCCATCTCAAAGTGTTCTGTGACGTCCTGAAGTTTCAATTTCCTTTGCAAGAGAGTTGTAAGCTTGCAAAGGTGAGGTTATTCTCGTCATCTAGCAAAGTATTTGATTAACCCTACAACACCTCAGCCTGAAGTTGCATACTGTGATCAACTGTGAACAGATCTCTTTTAATTCTTGTTTATTAAGTTTTGATGAGTGTCAGATTTCTTTTACAGTGTTAAGTTTTAAATAAAAGACAAAAAACACCATCTTACCAAGATGAAAAATTTGAATACATAATTTATACATATTAAAACTGCTAGTATCAAAATCCAGATTGCATAGGACAAATAATAAATTTGGCATTTACGTATTTATTAAACTGCTATTTTAATGATAATAAAACCTCTACAATAACACCTCCAACAAAGTGTGGAGAATTGGTGCCTCATTAAATATAAAATAACACGATCTATAAAAAAAACAGTCTAGCAAAAATTATGCGCAATACAGTTGAATGGGCCATGCTTTGTTGCATGGTGCTTGAAATAATTTTATATTACAATTATAATGGCAGGGATGCAATGTCCAGCAAGTACTCAGATATAAAAGTGAATGGGAGATGCAAATGAAACCAAATCATCAGACCCAAAAAAGGTTCCATCAGGGTAAACAAGACCCAAAAAACCTCTGAAGCCCCTGAACTCGACTCCCAAATCATCCTTTCTTTATCGGCTTGAAAACAAAATCAAGACAGTTCTGCTAAAAGGGAAAGTCTTATCGACATCCTGGTCATTTGCATGTGGTTTGCACCTGTCCAGGACGTCTTTATATGAAAATGACACAACAGTGTTTGCAAGCAAAATGAGAAGATCTCCAAAAAGGTCCAGACCAAAAACTTTCACCCCAAGAAAGGTAAGTCCACAGATCCCATATTTCAAAGCCCCAAAAATTTCTTTAAACCTCCCAATCAATTATACTTGAGAATCATCTTAGGATGCAGTGAAAATCATAATCAAAGTCTTTGAATCTGGATGGAAATTAGAAAACACATAATTTTCAAGGTTGTTCTTGCTACCAGTACATGCGCCTACTTCTCCAATAATCATTATGGTTTCCCCACTTAACATAATATGTTTACCTTTTTTACGTATAAAACTATACAAAAAAATGTAATGTCCAATATTTTCACAATGTAAGCTATCATTTCCATCATTCAGTATCACAAAGAAGTGAAGGTGGTGATGTTCTAAAGCTTGGATAATCAAGCTGTATCATTCCCCATGCAAAGCAAGTCGTGTCTGATAGCCCTGGCTACTGGATTTCACAGTCAGGCTAGCTAATGGATTCTGTCCTTTACTGAATTGCATTTGCATTATTACCAGTATTTTTTCAAAAAAGCTATATGTAGGAAGCTACAACGAAAATTATTCATCTGAAACCTACAATGTATAACAAATCTAGCAGGGTATTTACAAAGCCAATATTTTTTACTTATTCCAGAGGTCAACAACATTAGTCTTTGAGGCAATCATTGTCAAGTACTGTAAAGATAGACCTGTAGCGCTTCAGTTTGGAAAGGAACAATTTTACAGACATTAATTTGCAAAGGTCCACAGCACAGGTTACTCCTCAAGGGTAAATGCGAAATTAAAAGAAAGATATCTTTAAAAAAGTGGCAATGAATGATAGAAAAACCTGTTACTTTTTAACTTTTTGGAACAATCCCTCCCCCCTCAACAATACCTGTATACTGAAAGAATTTTTAACAGTAACATTTGGAAAGAATGGTCACAAGGAACATCATAGAAGTAAAATTCTGAAGCGATAATTTGTTTCATTGGTTTTGTCACAACATACATGTAACAATGATATTAACCATTTGAAGTGCAAAATCAGTGTTCTCAACCACTGTATAAAAAAAGAAATCACATAATTGCAAAAAATGTTATGTACAACCAAAATAAATGTAACTACAATAATGTCATAAAAGATTAAGTCTATTCTTATTTTTGGTTTCAGGGAAGCAATAACATTGACCACAAACATCAATCTGAGAGAGGTTTTAACTTGACTTAAACTGTCCCCAAATTTGGGTTTCACTCCCAATCTCAATAATGAAATATTCAAAGAATGTGGTACTTCTGTTGAACTCTGTAAGAGAAGGTAGTGTGCGTGACTATTCAAAGCAAAGATGTTAAGCAGTAAAGTGGAACCATGTTATCTTGACCTAGGCTATGATGAACTCCACCTATCTCAAATATAACACTATCATGCACTTTTCTTTTTCAATCTCAAACCCTGCTTTTTAGAACTATTCTATGCTTCCCTAAAGAATTCAAGATAGCAAAGTCAACCATACTATCCCTGTAGTATTCAAAGCTAAAATTCAAAGCTGAAATTGATTCTTGTTTTTTTCAGTTTGAACTTTGGAAGTCATGGGAGTGAAAAAGTCAACAGAAGCTGAATCTACTCTCAATTTCCCTGACAGTGTGGTTGAATTACTTTTGACTTTCATTCCCTTGCTAAGTACACTGTAACACAATTCAGCTGCTATACAATAATTTGCAATAAAACTAGAAAACTACATTTGTATGTTTCCAAGTCCTTTTAAGTTCTGATTATTCACCTCCGGTGTCACAGAGACTGGCCAATAGCCAACATTTGTTTGGGAGGTTGATCGGCTGTGCTTGGCAATCTTATCGGGATTTGCCCAGCAAACTTTGCGACTTATTTTAAAGTGCCACACAATCAACACAGCAGTTAAAATGACAGCTACAAGAATGAAGATGATGAGCAACTTCATGAATGTAGATATACCCTCTTGATGTAAAGTAACGTCTTTGGTGGGTGCAGAAGTACCAAGCTCCTCATCCTCTTCAAGTGCAAACGTTAAACTCTTGCGGCATTCCTTTGTTTCTTGATTTACTTCATCATCAGGGTTGCACAGTGGCAAACATTCACCACCATCACAATGACAATACATTGAACAGTTGGGGCAAAATTTGTTGAAAGGTTCTTGGCATCCTTTCTTGCAATTCTTGCTACACAGTTCAGAGTCAGCTGGAGTGATATTACGGTGGTCTTCACAAGTACCATAAAGCCTAATGGACCACTTTTTAAACTCTCCCATTACACCCTTGGTATCAGTAACCTCTATCTTCCAGGTTCCCACTGGGTTTTCACCCCAGCTAAACACAGTCATGAAGGGCCAGTTTTGGAAGCCATCGCTTGAATAATCCCTATCCCTAGGAGCCAAGAGCTCCGACCGAGTACCAGCGGGTGATGTTAAAACAATTCGCAATGATCCCCGGGATTTATGATTCAGCGTGACATACACTCTTACATGTTCAAGTTTCATAACACAGTTTGTCTTTCCTGCACAACCGGTGCTAACAATCGAAGATGTCAAAGTCCCTCGAGCAGGAATTTTCAGGTTGTCAGTATGATCTCGCTCTCGGCACATGTGCTGCTCAGTAGCAGTTTTCCAGCTGGGAGAAGTAGCAGCTGTTACCAGAGCAGCAGTGTCTAGAACCCCAAAACCATACTTGTGGTTAACATTGTGCCCAGCACCATTTTTCTGCCAACCTTTGTCTGTGCGATCAGTCATTTGTGAGGTGTTGACTACAAGATGCTGCAGATCCCTCCAGCTTAGTTTTGGATTAGCTTCCAGCACCAAGGCAAATATACCTGAAATGAAAAGAATGCAACT